TGCCCCCACTCCTCCCCTTCCTGCCCCCTCCCCTCAGCCTGCCGTGCCCTCGCTCCTTCCCCTCCCCCCAGAGCCTGCTGCACGCCACGAAACAGCTGATTGGGAGGTGCTGATCAGCGGGGCTGCCGGTGGGCAGGAGGCGCTGGGAGTGGGGTGGGGGAGCTGACGAGAGGCTGCTGACATATTGCTGTGGCTCTTTGGCAATGTACATTGGTAAATTCTGGCTCCTTCTCAGGCTCAGGTTGGCCACCCCTGTTCTACTGTATTGGTATTCCCCTTTTATTGAATGGCCTCCAAGTCCTGGTCCTATTGGAATCAATGGTAATTTTACCTTTGTTGTTAGTAGGACCAGGATTAAGTACTGAGGCATAAGAATGAAGGGCAAGTGACTTTGACCACCAGAGAAATGTATTACACCTCTAGAAAGGAACTAGGTAACCTGTCTCAGAGTGATCTAGTCTTGTAGATCAGGCATTAGCCTGGGATCCAGGACACTTGGGTTCTAGTCCCACTGCTACTACTGACCTGCGTGATCTGGGATAAGTCACTTCCTCTCTCCCTGCCTGTTTCCTCTGTTTTATGGATGAGATTGTCTCTAAATTATGCGAATGTTCAATGCCTAGTACCATGGGCCCCATGTCCCAGTGGGGGCCTTTAGCTCCAACCTTAATACAAATAATAACGATAAAAATAGGGGGAAATGGTAGCCATGTATTTAAAAGGCACTGATGACATCTTAGGTCATAACTAATGGCCAGTCTAATAGTTAGATTTTGCCCAGTTTGTCAATTGTGTATATTTTTATTCCCATTGGCTGATATATACGTCCCATAGCCACACCATAAATATTAAAATATATTTAATACTACAGCTCTGCTTGATTAAGGTTTCCTTCTTTAATTATAAATGTAGCAGATTTAACTGTGTAACAGAATGAAGGCCAATCTCATTTTGAGCAGTAGATTATATGAAATGTGAATGAGTTGTGTTATCCGGGTTTTATAATAACCCCGTTACAAATTAAGAGGGACTATCTGTTTTGTTTTTAAGTTTTTACTCTCTAAGAACCAAAGCTGCATGTGTGGCACCCTAAAAAAAAAGGTATTAAAAATACAGATGTGAATTTAAAGATTGCATTAGCTCTTGGTACTTTGCCCAGACTTGGCAGATGTAAACCTAATTTGCCCTAATCATGCTTTTCTTAGATTAGATTTTGATTAGAGAAGCTGTACACAAGTCTCTAGAGTTGCATTTTTATAAATATGAATCATCTACCATTTTGAAACAAAAACCTTTCCCATGTGTTTTCAAACCTTCCCACTTATTTTATAAAAACACTGCAGAAATTAACAGTTAAGAAAATAAAAGAAGACATTTTAATTTTTTTCAGAACCTTAATTTCTAATGTTGAAGAGCAAAATGCAGGCACTTGAAAATAAAACAACGGATTATTAAGCTACACCTGTTGGATACAAAACTGCATTATATCTAGAGTATGGCTTATTGTATTTTATCCACCCTCTGCCACTACTGATGTCTGTGTTCAATAGTGTGTTTGTTGCAGATATAATATAAATGCAAACAGCACAAACTCCAGAACTATTCCCCATGGAATTAACCCCCAAAATTTAGGAACCGTGTAGCCGCAAACACCCTGCCAAAAAGATTAGGGGCCAAATCCTCAATTGGTGTAAATTGGTGTCATTCCACTGAAGGGAATAGCTCTACCAGCTGAGGATCTGGCCCCTAAGTAGCTAAGGATCCAAATCAGAAACTGTATTGAGGAAATTAAATAAGGCAAATTTTCTGCCCCTCTTCCCAAAACAGTGGTCTTACATCTTTGTATGTACTATGTATTATTATTTGGCTGGGGAGATAATGTGCATAGGAAAGAATCAAGCAGCGTGCAGTCCTTTGATTTTTATTTTTTTGCTTAAAATGGAATTAGAATATATGTTCATAACTTCTTTTCTAACTGTGTTCAAAACGGGGAGGGTTGGATGCTCCTAACAAGCAGGTGGCAAACTTGGAGCTCTAACTTGATAGAACTTGAAACTAGAAGGATTCAAATTGGGTAATAAGACACCAGGTTTAAGTAGAGAGTATAATTAACCATTAGAATAGCTTGCCAAGGGATGAGGTAAATATTCCATTGCTTGAAGTCTTTAAATCAAAGCAAGGGCTTGTCTACCCAAACAATTAGACCATGACAAGCTGGGGTAGGCATCTACCCAGCACCCAGCACTAGCTTTCCATGAACTAACTGTGTGTGGACCCTGCTGACATTAACAGTTTGTTAACGCATTTTGAACTGGTCCCATTTCAGAGGACTAGATCAGACAGTATCAACTAACTGGCGGTGTGGGTCAGCAGGGTCCACCTAGGCAGTCCATAGCAGGCTAGCGCAGGGAGATTCACATTCCAGCTTGCCATGAACTAAATGTTTGTGTAGCCAAACCCTGTAGTTCCGCCACAATGCCAAGTCAGGGTGAGTTGAGGACACGAAGCACCTATCAGGTTTAGGCTCAAAATTACATAGATTACCGAACAAGTGAAAACAGATCTGGAGCTGAAAGGGAAAGAGCCAAATTTCTCCTAGTGTAACCACTGAAGTCATTGGACCACCACCAATTTATACCATCAGAGAATCTGGCCCAAACTATGGAAAAGAAAAATTTCTCGTGAGGAAGCACTATTTATAGACAATTCAAATAGATAATTTTTAATATATATAATCAACTGTGAGAAAGGGCATAGCATGTTGGAAGTGAGATAAGTGACAGAAATGAAGCAGAACAAAGTGATCTTAGAAGTGGATTAGGAGCCTGATTTGAAGCCCACTGAAAGCTTTTGACTTCAGTGTGTTTTGGATTAGACCCTATCAGAAGAAAAAAGAGGCATTTCAGATACAGGACTAGGCATTTACAGCTTCTTTAAAACCAACCTAAAAATCAGGTGTGGGGTTTAAAGACATAACTAATGCATCATCACAAAAGGATGCCTGTGCCGGAAAGCAACACGGAGGTCTACATTATTCCTCTTTTCACGATTCAAATAACCCTTTCATCACTATCAAAAGAGAAAAGGAGTACTTGTGGCACCTTAGAGACTAACCAATTTATTTGAGCATGAGCTTTCGTGAGCTACAGCTCACTTCATCGGATGCATACCGTGGAAACTGCAGCAGACTTTATATATACACAGAGAATATGAAACAATACCTCCTCCCACCCCACTGTCCTGCTAGTAATAGCTTATCTAAAGTGATCATCAGGTTGGGCCATTTCCAGCACAAATCGGTATGCATCCGATGAAGTGAGCTGTAGCTCACGAAAGCTCATGCTCAAATAAATTGGTTAGTCTCTAAGGTGCCACAAGTACTCCTTTTCTTTTTGCAAATACAGACTAACACGGCTGTTACTCTGAAACCTATCAAAAGAGAGTAATTTTGGGGAGGTGACATTTTTATATCAGAAAGCACATTACTTACGGTAACTGTGGTTCTTTGAGATGTGTTGTCCAAATGGATTCCATTCTTGGCGTACACATATGCCTAATGTGCGCAAGACTGGATTCTTTTGGCCAGCAGCGTTCACTGTACCTGCCCTTTAGATGCCCTCATGCCCCTCACCTGAGGGAAAGGTGGAGCAGGCCCAACCATCGCTCAGTTCCTTTGCCAATATACAATTCCAGAGGAGTCGGACTCCATAAAAGAAGAGAGGACGGGTCATGAAATCCACATGGACATCTTAAAGAATCAGTTGCTGTGGGGTAACTAACTGTTCTTTCTTCTTCGAGTGATTGTCCACATGGATTCCACTCTTAGTGGGGAATAAGCCGTTGTTGGGTTTGTTTGGAGGTGAGTAGTAGGAGTCCTACTTAAACAATGACTACATGACATCCAATCTGGAAGCCTCTGCCAAAGAGCAGTGTCTTGTGATGGCATGGAGTGAGCTGCACATAGCTGCCATAGAGAGTTCAGAAATAGAGACCTTCTTTATAGTGGAATGAGCTCTAATATGGCTATATGGATCTAACTTGGCTAGATCCATAGCATTTTATGCAGTTGGAGACCCACTTAGATAATCTATTTGCCCCAAAATTCTCTCTGCAAAGGGCAAAATGTAAAAAGACATTGCTGGTTCTATATCAAGTGTAGTTTCCCTGAGGTTGAGTGAGGTGTCGGGAAGAATATTGGGGGATGAACAAATTGATTCAGATGGAATTCTGAAACAACTTTGAGCGTGCACTTGGAATGAGGTCTGAGAGTGACTGTGTCCTTATTAAACACTACGTAAGGGGACCCAAGGTGAGGGCCTGAATCACCCCTATCTTTTGAGCTGGGGTAATGGCCACTCAAAAGGTCTTGCTGCCACGGGTGGCCAGAAGGAACTGAGGGATGGCCCATCCCCTCCGCCCTTTATGCCCTCAGGTGAAGGGGCAATGAGGGCATCTAGGGTGCAGAGGCAGCCCCAACAAATACTGCTGGCCACAATAACCCAATCTCCCATGTATATAGCACATGTGCACCAAAAATGGAATCTATGTGGACAATCACTAAGAAAACTTTATAATTTTGAATTTGTCCCTACAATGGGGACATGCAAACGTAATGGAAGAATTTTATAGCTAGTTTATTAAAGTAGGTGAAAGCTTTAGTTATGAAAAACAACTCTCTCAACAATTTGATGCACCATATATATTCAGTAACAAGTCCAATTACTATAAGTGTATGTTAAGCCTAAGACTTGCCGTGCAACCATCACCAAAGTGACTGAGTTATCTGATCAAACTTATTTGTCAGTATTGGTTGGTGTACAAATATGCCTCATGTGCGCAAGACTGGATTCTTTTAGCCAGCAGCGTCCACTGTACCTTCCCTTTAGATGCCCTCATGCCCCTCACCTGAGGGAAGGGTGGAGCAGGCCCAACCATCGCTCGGTTCCTTTGCCAATATACAATTCCAGAGGAGTTGGACTCCATAATAGTGGGAAAAGAGAACGGGTATTATTCAACATTTATTAAAGTTGAGAGAAAACTTTAGTAAACACGTTCACTTTCAGGTGGATACAATGAACAGCTGCTTGCTAAGATGGTTTACAGTATCTTTACTTTCATGCAGAAACTATTAATTTGCATAAAACGTATAGCCTCTGGATTCATGGCCACTCTAGATGCTTTATAGTCTTTCGTTTGTTGACTTTTCTTTTTCCATTTTCATGTAATAGGCTCTTTAGAAAAGTCTTTAATATGCAAGTTCCAGTTTCCTGAGCAATCACATTAACCAATAAATTTGACCCTGAGACACTTAGGGTCAAATCCCAGCCCCACTGAAGTCAACGGGAGTTTTGCGATGGATTTCATGGGGGGGGCCAGGATTTCACGCTACATTTTAATTTTAAAATCTAGAGAGTCTATGATCAGTTTTTTTGTATGCAACTCCCCCTCCTGCTTCCCTACCCATATCTCAGTGATCCACAGAACAAAGAGGAAGTCATTTGTCAAGTTAGAAAATCATGGTGCTCATTTTATTTTTTCAGCGGCCCCAGGGCAACATTGCTTTGGAACCACATGAAGCTGAAGATAACGCCCATTGTCTTAGGGAAATGCTCATCAAAAGCAAATTTCATGGAGTCCTGTAAAGGTACTTCTACAACTTCAATCAGCTCTCCCTCTTCAGGCTGGCCTCCACCTTCTCCAGTTTTCATCTGATCTGTTACCTCTGCATAAAATAAGGTTTGCTTAGAACCAGTCACACCAACTCCGGACCTGGAAAAAAAATAGAAGAGGAAAAACTTCACCTTTATTTAAGAAAAATGTTATTTTGTACCTATGAAACTGGGTCCCTGGTCCTCAATTAGTGCCCCTGAGCAATACCAAAATAAAAATAATTAATTATTAATGAATTTTAAGTATTCAAAATGACAATTAGAATCTCTTTTTATTCATAAAAAGTCAGCTAAAATTGTCAGTTAACTAAAATTGAGTTCAGTTCCATTTTAGCACAGATATATGTACAACTACATTCTGTGGCTGCACCGAATGTTTATTTTGAAAGGAGATGGAATAATTGATCTAACAAATGGAAGATTCTTCAATTTACTTCAGTGGGAGTTGGTATGGGCCCTGACCTATAGAAACCTGCAAACAATAGGGTGAAGCTCCCCAGGGTATCTGAATGTTACATTTGTTTGCTTATTTTTATAAGAAATTTTAGATTTCTGTTGCTTAAGAAGATTAGGTCTATTCACAGCTGGAGACCTCTATTCACATCCTGGATAGGTGCAAGAATGGAGTGGCAGCGTGAGATTCTTTTCTCTACCCCGCCTAACCCTTTTGCCTTGACCCAGATGGACCACCCTAAGAATGAATGCATCTGAAGTAATTCAGCCTCTCAGCTAAATTTGTTATCATGGATTTACTTTAGGATATCTTAGATTATGCAGTCTTTCTTCAGCTAGACCACTTGCTGTGTGTTATACTTCTTATTTGTTAATCCTCTATTTCTTAAGAACTATTTCATTTAGATTTTTTAAAAATAAGAGATAAGTACATAATCCACTCACTTGGTCCTTCCAGGAAAATAGTCACATTGCAATTGCAACTTCTGCATTTCCTGTTTTAACAAATTACTTTTAAGGCATATTGGGGGCTGATCCAAAACCCACTAAACTCTAGATCAGGCCACGAATGCTGAAGAATTAGTCTCAATATTACTGTACATAGGATTCAAAGATTTGTAGTAGATTAAAAATTATTTATTCAATATATATAGTTTCTAATAAAATAAAAATCTTATAGCATATAAACCCTTTTTACTCAATCTCTAGATAACTAAATCTCCCAGTTAATCCAAGGTAAATCAGATCCCCAGCAGGAATTCAAGCCAGGCTGTATTCTTTCAATCTTCTCAAACAAATCTATTTATTTTGGCTGGACAACGAATATTAATTAGTCAGTTTGTTGCTATATCAATAGCCACAATCTTTTTTCTTTCTGAAAACAGAATTGGGAGTCAGCAAGCTGCATTCTCTTCCTAACTCTCCCACCGATGTACTGCGTGACCTTGGCCAAGGCACTTCTGTGCCTCAGTTTCTGAATCTGTACGAAGTGGACAATGAAACTTACTTATCTTTGTGAAGAGCTTACGAGAGACTAGGATGAAGGGTGCTATGTATGTATTCTATCTATTCTCTGCTTTCTCTGTGATTGTACTATTCTTCTGATACATTCCTTGGCCAAAGATAATGTGACCTAGTGGGAGGCAGCAAGAGAACAGGCTAAGGGGCTTCCCACTTTCTCTCCTCCCTCTTGCTGAAGGATGTGACCTGCTTTCTCAGTAAAACTGAATTACTGTCTCTAATGACCTGGTTTTTGCAGCCACTGTCCTCAGCGTTTGTATCCTATTATGGTGGCTATCACTGCAGGCTTGTCAATAAAAACGCTATCCAGCACTGACAATGATTCACAGACTTGATGCACCACTGGCACAAGATCAAATGCCTTCTCTGGACTCCCCCCTGCCCTTTGCATCCTTTCCCCTTCTCTAATGGGAAGCTGCTCGGAAGAATAACCCCATCAGGCATGCTGCCACTCATCTCAGTTGCAAGTGACGATCCAACTGGCAGAAGACACAATAGAAATGCAGTCTTTGAAAGCAGCAGGATTTACACACTGGGCCCACCATGCTGGTTTAATCATTCTAATCTCATTATAAAAGTAAGGTAGACCCATTTTTCACGAAGTTGCTACCAGCACCCGGTTTTCTAAAGTTGGAATGTCATTTTTTATGCTAATATGCTATCAGCGTGCTTTCTGCTGTAATGACGACAACACACTTCTATATATTTTCTTGGTACTAATAAGCAATAATGCATGGTACTAAAAAGGAACACAGGAGATGAATCACTGATTAAGAACAAACAGGGTTATTTCAGAATCCATCACAGGAAAGTCCTTTAAATCCTAGGAGGAGTCCAACTTGTTCTGTAAACATGCTGGCCCCAGTTTATTCACCTTGTTTCATAGGTGTAGCTTTGGGAGGGAAAGTAAGAGGGTTGTTGCCCCCCCACCCCCAACAACAAGCCTCGGGCAAGCATGGAATTTGCACCCGCCATGCGCAGCCCCATTGGCCTGACTGGAGCGGTCTCCCCAAATACAGAAGTCAAACTATGCCTTGGCTTGCTTTCCACCACTGAGCTCCACCCTGAGTGCTATCAACTTTTCCCAATCCTACCTCAGTCTGTTTAACAAAATTGTAACTTAAAAGACTTATTTGCCATGGAATATTACATTGTTTTTATATAACATTTATTTTAATTCTTGGCCCTCATTTTCCTATCCCTTTCTATTTGTGATCTGTGTGTTGTTTGTATGAGGGGCACTCTGTTTTTCACAGTCTATAAGAGGTGGGGATATTCTTTTTTCTTGCTGTTCTTTATATAGGGTAGGATTTGTTCTTCATCGATTTTTTTTGAGGAATTGTGTTTTTAAAAATTACAAAAGCACATAGAGCCTGGGATTTGGTATTTTTAAGTAGAAACCTAAAGAAATGAAAATAAATGTTGGATTAATTTAGCCCGCATGCTAATCTCTGTATGTGCCATGGTAAATTACAGAACTACATAGGGGTTTAATAATAAATGAATAAATAAATAATAAAATATTGCTGGTTGCTCTCTCACCTTCTGATCTTGATTTGCTCTCACCTCAACTTGATTTACACACATTCTTTTTAGGACCAGTTCTAGCAATTTGTATCATATTATATTTCACCCAAAAAATAACAAGTGGGAAAAACAGTTTTGACTATTAAAACATATCCCCTTCCCTTTTAACCTGTTTCTGAAGTTCATGACCTTTTTCAAGAAACCAAATTGGTGCAGATCTGTAGTTAGACAATTAAAACATTAGCTGTAACCTAGTCAGTTTGATATTATGCAAAGGATCAGTCTGCAATCCACCAAGTTTAAAAACATATAACCCTTATGTAAAAGACCCTTCCATACAAACTCTCTGCCTTAATTATTTACAAGGTAATCTCTTCCTATGCTATCCATGACCTTTTACTTTTGAAACAGCTGCAGCTGTGGAAATCACTGAGTTCTCCCACCATGTATCTTTTCTTTAGCATAAAAGAAAATTGTTTCCTGAGTCACAGCATCATGAGAGATTCAGTTTCTTGCCTCAGGATCTCAAATAGGTTATTGGTTTCACTTCAGGATATTATTACTTATATTTTTCAGAGTGTTAGCAGCCGTGTTAGTCTGTATTTGCAAAAAGAAAAGGAGGACTTGTGGCACCTTAGAGATTAACAAATTTATTTGAGCATGAGCTTTCGTGAGCTACAGCTCACTTCATCGGATGGATTCCTTACTCAACATATCAAGACTGGCTGTTATTCTCAAACTTAAAATGTTTTTAAATGATGTTTGGCCTGGATCTCATATCTTTCCTATTCTATAGTACCTGGAATTGCAAGCAGGTTGGGTCATATCTTGCCATCTAACTATGCATAGAACTTGCCACTGAAATCAATGGAACGTTTGGGATAAAAAAAATTGTGGTAGGATATGGCCACAGGTTCATTTTGTTTGTTCTTTTATTTGTATTCTCTCCATTCCGTTTTAAGACAACCTTAAATTGCATGTTGAGCTATTAGTTTTAAAATAAATATCTGCCTCCAAATAAGCTATATACAAGAACAAAGGGTCTGATAAATGCTTTTCACTGCAGTTTATTTTACTCCTCTCTCTAAGACTTTATATTTGTAAATCTATTTATATTCGAATTCAACAGCACGTCTCAATCTTAAATTGGATAACTTTGCACACTTAGTATAACATTACATTATCTACTGTATAACAAATTGACTAGGTTATGCCTAATGCTTTCATTGTTAAACTATAGATCTGTCTCACTTTGGTTTCCAAAAAACATCATCTACTTCAGGAAGAGATCAAAAGAGAAAGCAATATATTTTGCTGCACAAAAAGGATCTATTTCCAGTATTTTCCCACTTGCTACTTTTTGTCTAGATCAGTGGTGCCCAAACTTTTCTTGCCGCGCCCTCCCTTACCAGTAATAGAATCTGTCCACATCTTCTTCCCCTCCCCCTGCTCCCATCACTGCACACAGTTGGCTCAGCAGAGGAGCTTGGGCTAAAAGCAGAGCTGACCTAGAGGCAGAGAGGGAATGAGGGCAAAACTGGACTAGGGGTGGAGCAGGGGGAGGAGTGGAGCTGAGGCTGTGGCTGGAGTGGAGCTGAGGCTGGGGCCAGACCTGGGCTGGGCGGCGCTTCCTCTCCATCCCCCAGCGGGGGCTGGCCTGGGTCCTGCCCCTCGAATGTTCCTCTCTGCCCCTCTAAGGGGGGAGTGCCCGATAGTTTGGGGACGACTGATCTAGATGATTTGGCTTTTTTATCTTCTGCTTCAGTTAAGTGTCATCTTCTTCTCATGGATGTATGCCGATTGCCCTTTACTAAAACAGATATTCCTGAATATTGACCACTGCCATCTTTTACAATATTTCCAACCTGTCTTGCATCCTCTTGTACTCTCCCCTTCCTTAGAGAACTATCAAAAAATCACCACCAAAAATGTTTTATTTGCCTTGCTATTTCCTACAGAATTCCTAAATGCAACTCACATGGGCCTGTTATTTTGAAGCAGTTTTAACTGCCTCTTCTGCTCTGATGAAGTCATAAAGCATTTTAACATTCCCCTTTGAAAATGTATATTAGTCTCAGGGATGTGACCTTCAGCAGTTGT